TCTGGGAGTTGAAGTCCACTCATCTTAAAGTGGCCAAGTTTGGACAACACTGTTTTACACCTATCAATAGCTCCATGAAAGCAGTTGGGACAGGATATCTCTATGAGAAAACCACAATGATATGGGTGCAACTCATTGCCTGAAGTGTGATTTTATTTGCAGAAAGGGGTCATGATCAGATGGAGGACCTTCGCCCACTATAAGGTGGCTGGAGTATTTAAATGACCAGCTTGGCCTTATGCCATATTTTCATGCAGAAATGGCCTCTACACAACATCTGAGTTGCACTAAGCTGTTTTATATCAAGCTTCAGAGGCAGGCCAAAGACATTACAGTAGGGTTAGCCCAACGGGGATGCAAAAATCTGGACAGTCTTTTTTGCTGCATGATGGCAGCATAAAGATACAACATTTTAACTCTGTGCTGCCATCTAGTGGCTGCCTGGAAGCCTACTCATGCTATGCTAAATTATGGCTTTTGCAATGTGGCCAATGCCTGCAGATACTTGTGGGTAACAGATTGAGATCAACAAATAACTCCAGTTGCTCAGGATGGGAATAGTTCCTAAAGTCAGTCCCTGCCTGCAAGAATATATTTTAAAGGGGGATGGGGCAGGCATGTTCATGGGGGAGGGGGTGAGAGTAGGGTTCCACGAAAGTCAAGATACTGGTTGTGTGATTGAAATCCTGCCTTTTTTGATAATATGTTGTGCAACACACATAAAAAAGAGGCAGGGATTTGTTCATGCAGTTGCGGGTACCATCTTGATTTTGAGGACCCTTCCTGAGGATGCCGCTGGGCCAGAGGAAATGATTTCCCTTTCAGCTTGGCATTCCCAGCTGCAAGTGACCAGAAATGACAATGAGTTTGCTTCAAGAGAATGCAAGAGGGTGAGACAAAGAGAACAAGCTGACTGCAGTCTTGCCCTTGAGTAAGTAAACAGCCCAATTTGTCACCTGCATTTCAAAATATGTGCTGGGTGTCTTCCTACATCCCCACCCCCCCCTGTCTGGAC